TGTCCCCTACTCAGAATTCTCATATAGGTGCATATATGCTTTTTGGGTTTTGTTTTTGAGACACGGTCTTGCTTTGTTGCCTAGGCTGCAGTGCAGTGGCATGATCATGGCTCACGGCATCCTTGACCTCCTGGACTCAAGTAATCCTGCCTCCTCAGCCTCCAGAATAGCTGAGACTACAGGCACATGCCACCATGCCTGGCTAGTTAAAAAATATATATATATATTTTTAATAGAGATGGGGTCTCACTATGTTGCACAAGCTGGTCTCAAAGTCCTGGGCTCCAGAGATCCTCCCACTCCGGCCTCCCAATGTGCCGGGATTATAGGCATGAGCCACTGTGCCCAGCCTCTGTATGTTTTAGTTAGCTGTAAGGCCACCAGCTTTCACTGAGTTAACAGGTCCTTTCACTTGGATTCCTTGTCTTTCTCTCTCCTGATCATTGTGAGTGTGTTTAATGTGCAGGATGACTGGTAAATATGAAGGCTGAGTTAGGCAAATTCAGTTCCAAATCACGCTGAACACTAAATAGTAGGTGATATGAATATGATAGTTTTCAAGGCTTGACAATAAGGAGATGGGCCAATACAAAGCAGATGAACTTGTTAGTACTTGCTCCAACAGGAAATGCTGCCTTGTCACTTTTAATTCTCATAGCAAGTAAAAGCCAGAAGCACAATAATTTCAGGTGCATGCAGAGTTGTCAGAAACTTGGAGCAGCAATTTTGGTGAATGAAAACCAAAGGAGAGCCTTGTGTTAATTCTGTCCAACATTTACCTGTTGGTGTTCTTTCAAAATCACGCTGAAATGCTAGACTAGCGTCAGAAAAAAGAACATCTGGATGGCAAAGACCTTTCTTAAAGCATATACATATCCCAACTTTTTGACATGAAGGTTTTTAAAGTTACAAAAAGTTGAACAGTAAAATGAACACTCATATACCCTCCACCTAAATTCAACAATTAACATTTTGCTGCATTTGTTCTACCTGCCTATCTACATAAACTTTTATTTGAACCATTTAAAAAAAATAGAAGAAATCATGAAATTTCACCCTGAATATGTCAATGTACATCTCTTTAAAATAAGGATATTTTCTACATGACTTAAAAGTGGTTATGTTTAATAATAGTAATCTTCTAGTTCAGGGGTCAGCAAACTAGTCTACAAGCCAGATCCAGTCGCTGCCTGATTTTGTGAATAAAGTTTTATTGGCACACATTCATGCCCATTCCTTAGAACACATTCATGCCCATTCCTTGGAATACGTTCATGCGCATTCCTTTATATATTGTCTGTGGCTGCTGATGTGCTACAACTGCACAACTGAGTAGTCACAGAGACCATATGAATCTAAAGATCTAAAATATTTACTGTCTGGTCCTCGACAGAAAGTTTGCCAGCCCCTGCTCTAATAAGTAGGTGTGTGGGCTGGGCACGGTGGCTAGAGCCTATAATCCCAACACTTTGGGAGGCCGAGGCAGTTGGATCATGAGATCAGGAGATCAAGACCATCCTGGCCAACATGGTGAAACCCCCGTCTCTACTAAAAATGCAAAAGTTGGCTGGGTGTGGTGGTATGTGCTTGTAGTCCCAGCTACTTGATAGGCTGAGGCAGGAGAATTACTTGAACCTGGGAGGTGGAAGTTGCAGTGAGCCAAGATCACACCACTGGGTATGCAGAGTGAGACTCTGTCTCAAAAAAAAAAAAAAAAAAAAAAATACATGTGTGGAAAGATTCACAAAATATTCACGAACCAAAGGATTTGGCTGTCATTTTTGCATTGCAAGTGCTTCTCCCTCTAGAGTATAGGTTTTGTGCTGTTGTGATTCACTGCAGTAGGTATGCGTGGATTGTGGTGGTGTGGAGGTAGGAGTGGGATTGAGAAACATCCACTGCCTGGTTTTCCTAATAGGGCCCTGTGCTCAGTGCTATATATCTACTGTGATCCTCACAACAATACTATGAAGTACATATCTTTATTTTATCCAGTTGTTGTTTTGTTTTGTTTTTGAGACAGAGTCTTGCTCTGTTGCCCAGGCTGGAGTGCAGTGGTACAATCTCAGCTCACTACAGCCTCTGCTTCCTGAGTTCAAGCAATTCTCCTGCCTTAGCCACCTGAATAGCTCAGACTACAGGCACATGCTACCACGCCCAACTAATTTTCATATTTTTAGTAGAGACAGGGTTTACCATGTTGGTCAGGCTGATCTCGAACTCCTGATTTCAAGTGATCCACCCACCTCTGCCTCCCAAAGTGTTAGGATTATAGGCATGAGCCACTGTACCTGGCCTGTTTTATCCAGTTTTATTGATGAGGACACTGGGGCTTACAGGGATTTTAAAAATTGCCTAAAGTCATGCAGGTATGAAAGAGAAAGGTCGACCAGGCACAGTGGCTCATATTTGTAATTCCAGCACTTTGAGAGGCTGAGTCAGGAGGACTCTTGAGGCAGAGTTCAAAATCAACCTGGGCAACAAAGTAAGACCTCCATCTCTACCAAAAAAAAAAAAAAAAAAAAAGAGAGAGGAGAAGGAAACCAAGGGCCCAAGTCTGTCTCCAAAGAGAGATACAGTGGGTTCAGTTAAGAGTCCCAAGGAGGCATTCCCATTTTGTGGTCATGATTCATACACAAAATGAGTGCTTTGGGCTTCACTGGTTTTCGGTACAAAATCATGATAAGATTCCTTGGGACAAAGCAACTAAGTCCTTTCTTTAAAGTATAGTGAGGACACATAGTATCCTAGTCTGTTCCTGCTGCTTTAACAGAACATATGAGACTGGTTAATTTACAAACAGAAATCTATTGGCTCACAGTTCTGGCGGCTGGGAAGCCCAATAGCAAGGTGCCAGCAGGTTTGGTGATTCTTATTTTAAGATGCTGCCTGGAAAGCTGCATCCTCTGGAGGTAGGAATGCTTCATCTTCACAAGGCAGAAGTGCAAAAGAGACAATGAACCTTCTGATGGTCCTTTCTATGGAATTAGTCCATCAGGGCTCTGCCCTCAGGACTTAATTACCTTTTAAAGGCTCCACCTCCTAACACTATCACATTGGGGGATTGGTTAGATTTCTACCTATGAATTTTGGAGGGGACACAAATATTCAAACCATAGCACATAGTTAGGATAGGATACCTGGTATCATATAAAAAAAAATGCCTCAGAAAACTTAACTGATGCACTTTAATCATTTATTCTCTGAAACGGGGACAGCAACTATTCTGATTCTTCGGAGGAAAGTGAGTATTTAAAGCTTTCCTGCTTCGGCCTCCCAAAGTGCTGGGATTACAGGCAAATAAAAAAAAAATAAAATAAAAGCTTTGTGGCCAGACGCAGTGGCTCACACCTGTAATCCCACTTTGGGAGTCTGAGGCAGGCAGGAGTTCGAGACCAGCCTGACCAACATGGTGAAACCCCATCTCTAGCAAAAACTACAAAAATTAACTAGGCATGATGTCAGGTGCTTCTAGTCCCAGCTACTCAGGATGCTGAGATGGGAGAATCGCTTGAACCTGGGAAATGCAGCGAGTAGAATTCACTGCCACTGCACTCCAGCCTGGGTGACAGAGTGAGGCCCTGTCTCAAAAAACAAACTAACTAACTAAAAACTAAACACCTTTGCACTCCTTTTTCTCCTCTCCCTCTCTTCCCTAAATTAAATGTCACAGCAACTCACACCTATAATCTTAAGTACTTTGAGAATTTGAAGCAGGAGGATCACTTGGGGCCAGACGTTCAAGACCAGCGTGGGCAACATAGTTGCCCAGATTTCCCATCTCTAGAAATAATTTTAAAATTAACCAGGGATGCTGGCATGCACCTGTGGTCCCAGCTACTGCAGAGACTGATGCAGAAGGATTGCCTGAGCCTAGGTCAAGGTTGCTATAATTGTGCCACTGCACTCCAGCCTGGATGACAGTGAGAACTGGTCTCTAAAAATAAATAAATATATAAAACAAAAGCTTTGAGGCAAGTGCCTGTAATCCCAGCACTTTCGGAGGCCAAGATTGGAAGATCGCTTGAGCCCAGAAGTTTAAGACCAGCCTGGGCAACATAGTGTCTCTAAAACATACGCGTGTGTGTGTGTGTGTGTGTGTGTGTGCATGACAGCACACACCTGTAGTCCCATCTACTCAGAAGCTGAGGTGGGAATATCCCTTGACCCAGGGAGGTTGAGGTTGCAGTGAACCATGATTGTGCCACTGCACTCCAGCCTGGGTGAAAGAGCAAGACACTGTCTCAAAAATACAAAACAAAACAAAAAGGGCTGTGTGTGGTAGCTCATGCCTGTAATCCTGGCACTTTGGGAGGCCGAAGAGGGCAGTCACCTGAGGTCAGGAGTTCGAGACCATCCTGGCCAACATGATGAAACCCTGTCCTAGTAATAACACAAAAAATTAGATGGGCGTGGCTGGGCGCCTGTAATCCCAGCTACTTGGGAGGCCAAGGCATGAGAATTGCTTGACCTTGGGAGGTGGAGATGGCAGTAAGCCAAGACTGCACCATTGCACTCCAGCCTGGGCAACAGAGCAAGACTCTGTCTCAAATGAACTAACAAAGCTTTTTTTTTTTTTTTTCAGGAGGGGAGAGTCAAGGGGGTGGGGGAGGCAACTGAGAAGAGGGGAGGTGGGGAGGAAAGAAGTGAGGGAAGGAGAGGGGAAGGAAAGGAGGGAAAGGGAGAGAAGCAAGGGAGTGGGCCACAAACAAAGCTTTGAAAGTAGAGCTCTCAACACAAGGGATGAGTATTGTTTACTTTGTATCTCTAAGCAACCAAGGCTCAGAACCAGTTTGGCTGTCTCATTCTGTAGGTCTCTCATTCTCAAATTTTAGTATTTATAAGAATCATCTAGGATGCCTATTAAACTCAGATTCCCAGGACCCACACCCAGAAATTTCTTCCATAGGCCTAGGTGGAGTCCAGGAGCTTGAATCATTGATTTCGATACAGGTGATCTGAGAGCCAGACTTTGAAAAAATACTACATTGAGGTGTAATTGATGTTTCATGAGACATTTATTGTAAAAGAGCACTTTATTATTAATATTTAAAATGAACTTTTTATGTAACAATAATTAATACTTACTATAAAATAATTCAAACCATACTAAAAAACCTAAAGAAAAAGTAAAGGTCCATTCCTCACTGCCCACTCTTCTCACCTTTCTCAGATATGTTTTGATGATTTGTTTTCCAGACTTTTTTCTGTGCCTATGCAAATATATAGTCATGCATTACTTAATGATGGATTCATTCTGAAAACTATATCATTAGATGATTTCACCGTTGTTTGAATATCAAAGAGGGTACTTGCACAAACCGAGATGGTACAGCCTCCTACACACCTAGGCTATACGGTATGGCCTACTGCTCCTAGGCTACAAATCTGTACAGCGTCTTACTACACCTGTAGACAACTGTAACACAGTGGTATCTGTATATCTAAACACAGAAGAGGTACAGTAAAAATGAGGTATTATAATCTTGTGGGACCACTGTTGTATATGTTGTCCATGATTGACTAAAACATTATGCAGTGTATGACTGTATATTGTTTAAGAATGTTGAGCATTTGATGTGTCTAATTTTTTGCTATTATAAATAATGCTGCCCAGGTGTGGTGGCACACGCCTGTAATCCCAGCATTTTGGTGGGCCGAAGTGGGTGGATCGCTTGGGCCCAGGAGTTGGAGACCAGCCTGGCCAACATGGCCAAACCCCGTCTCCACTAAAAATACAAAAATTAGCTGGGCATGGATGCCTGCAATCCCAGCTGAGGCAGGTGAACTGCTTGAACCCAGGAAGTGGAGGTTGCAGTGAGCCGAGATTACACCACAGCACTCCAGCCTGGGTAACAGAGGGAGATTCAGTCAAAAAAAAAAAAAAATGAATTAATCAATAAGTAAACAAAGCTGAAATAAATACTCTTGGTTCCCATGTCTTTAGCAACTCTGTGACTGCTTCTGTAGGATAAATTCCTAAAAGTTGAATCACTGGGCCAAAAGATTCAAAATAGCACAGAAAGGAATATAATTAAAAAGTGCTTTTCTACCTCCTTCCAACTTCCAATCCCCTTTTCCTGAGGAAGCCACTGTCATCTTGCATATCATCATGCAAAATGCTTACATAGGTATGTTCATTCTGTTTTGATACACTGTCAATCTGTCCTTCAAGAGGACCTTTTTCCTAACCTATTTTATGTCTAACTTTAATGTTCCTGGTGGCTCTTCAATTTTAGAGCCTTCATTGTTTTCAGGTCCCAATGGCATCACTGATCAACATGCCTCTTCAGAGAGCTTCCCCCAAAGGCTGTTCAGCAAGGAATCTCCAGGGATTTAAATACATTTCTGGGAAAAGATTTAAAAAGGCAGTAATTTGAGCATAAAATGATTTCTTATAATTCCACTCTAAAGCAAACTTACAATTTTAACATTTAAATCTGTAATGTTCCACTTTTCTTTTGCTTTTTTTTCTCCTTCCCTCTTATGAATGCTATATTCCAAACTGTACTAGTAACTCTTGTGCCCTTTTAGCTCTCTTTTTTTCCACGAATTTGTGTGTCATCACTGCACAGCGGTCATGGTAATCTTCTCTGTATCGTTCCAATTTTTAGTATATGTGCTGCTGAAGCAAGCACCTTTTAGCTCTGCTGCTTCTCTTCTCTAACTAGAATGCATCCCCTCCTTGATTTCAGTTAATTCGGCAAAGTGCTTGACTAAATTATTGAACAACTTTTCTCTCCAATCTTAGCCCTTGTAAAATAAGAATAATGCCTAGAGGTTATATGTACGACATACATATTTTTGGAGCTGGTGATTAGGTGGGGGCTTCCAGAGCCTAATATTTTCAGTGGTCTGTCTCTGGACATTTATACCAAGATCTAATGTTAACAGCAAAAAGATTTTTTAAAAATTAAGACCGGTTTATCGCGCTCTCAGTGCAAACTCGGCTCACAAGTTACGAAAGCTAACACAGTTACGGAAGCGAGTTTTGAGAACTCGCGCAGTGTGCCACCGTTCTCCAAGGGACGGTAACTTGAGTGTCCGCAGGGGTGGGGACACAACTGCTTCTACCAGGCGGAGAGTAAATGCAGGTGCCGCGGCCCATCGGAGTAATCCACAAGGTTCTCCGAGAGCCCCGCCTCCAGGCATTTAGACCGTGGTCGCAGCCGTCGCAGCCTCTTCTCACCGACCCTCCCACCTCCCTCTGGGTTCTACGCTCCCGGATTCGTTAGGCTGCAGCTCGCTGCAGAACAGCGACACAACGCCGAGAGGCTTAAGGTCCGCAAAGGAGGAAAGCGAACACACCCGCCGCCATTCTGTTTTTCTCTTCGAGACAGAGTCTCACTCTGTCACCCAGGCTGAGTGCAGTGACGTGATCACGGTTCACTGCAGCCGCGACCTCCTTAGATGTGCGATAGCTGATACAGCCTCTGGAGAAGCTGGGACTACAGGAGCGCGCCACCACGCCGGGCGAATTTATTTTTTATTTTTTTGCAGAGACGGGGGTAGTCTCACTATGTTGCCCAGGCTGGCGTCGAGCTGGACGCAGGAGAACTTCCCGCCTCGGCCTCCGAAAGTGCTGTGATTAGAAGAATGAGCCGCAGCGTCCGCCCCTGCGCAGCCATTCTAGCCAGCGTTATCGATGGCAAGCGGCCGCAGCTCTCCGCTTTTTGCCCCGCCTTTTCCTCTTGCGATCTGTTTCCACTTCCGGTTCTGGAGTTCCGGCTCTGCCATGAAGAGCTATGCATTGTGGGAGTTCCTTCCTTTCTCGCTCTCCGGCCATCTTAGCGTCTGCTCTTGGTGAGTGGGCTCCTACCGACCGTGGTTTAGGCAGTGCGGGGGGCCTTGCGGGTTGCCATTTGGAACTTCGGATCCTAAATTTCCTGTCTTGTTCTCTGTTCTAGGTTGGGGGCCGTCCCGCACCTAAGGCAGGAAGATGGTGGCCGCAAAGAAGACGGTGAGTGAGGCGGGCCCGGCCGGGAAGCCGATTCACGTGGAGAGATGAGTCTCAGCCGGGGCGGGCCGATGTGAGCCCACTGGGGTGACAGCATGCCTACTGGCGTTTGGAGGACCCCAAAGGGAATCCGAGAGGCCCTCTCAATGACTTGGGCCCCTCGACTTCGGAAGTTTAAGGGGGTCGGCTTCAAAAAGCTGGGTCCAGTTGTGAGGTGGTTGCAAACGAGGTCTTCAGGTCCGTGTTTAATGTTTGCTTTGTAGAAAAAGTCGCTGGAGTCGATCAACTCTAGGCTCCAACTCGTTATGAAAAGTGGAAAGTACGTGCTGGGGTACAAGCAGACTCTGAAGATGATCAGACAAGGCAAAGCGAAATTGGTCATTCTCGCTAACAACTGCCCAGCTTTGAGGTAATCGGAAAAACCTGAGCAGGCGTCGTCTACGGCGAATTCATTGTGAAAGAATGTATACAGGAGTGTAAACTTGTAATCTAAGTGGCATGCATTGGATGTTATGAAAAACTCGTTTTCCGAATGAACACTTGCAGGATAATTACGGTACCGATTGTGGTGTTTGGCTCTTCATTCCCGTCTCTCCCACCCACCCCCAAATCATGTGCTCCCCATCTGTGAGCTTATTTTTGGGCGAGAAATGTGTGTGGTAGGAGGAGTGAAAACAGAATATCGAGGTTTGATGGACTTGCAGACACATGATTTGTTTTTCCGTGTATTTTGTGTCCTGCTTTTTTGGTTCTTTTAGCTTTGAGGTGCTTTAATAATGCTTCATTGTGTGAACTTCAGTATCAAAACACCAGGTAAGAAAAGTTGAGGTTGGGCTATGGAGTTGCAGTCTATCATAGAGTAACCCAGTTTAGCCCACTAAATCAGTTCTGAGGCAAGGTTTATGCTTGACTCACTGTTTTGAAATTGAATTTAGGGGGTATTGTAAATACACTCAAGAAACTCAGATCTTGCAGAATATAAGCCATGTGACCAAATTTCCTGAGGTAATGCATAAGCTGCTTACAGCATTTTATATAGGGTGTCTTGTTCCTGTCAAAGCCTGGAATGCCCTTTCTGTCCCATCCCGTGGGTTGGGCTTTTCCCTAACCATTCTCTGAAACTTACTTTAAAGCCTGTCTTCTATAGTACGGCTTCTGAAACGTGACTGTGCAAAGAAGTGACATGGGTTGTCTTGTTAATATACAAGTTCTGATTTCATTCGATCCGGGATGGGGCCTGAGGTGCGTACGTGCGCGCGCGCGCGCGGTGTGTTTAGCACCCACTAATCTGCTCTCTGTCATTATTGAGTAGGGAGTAGGTACCATTTCCCAATTATTTATTTATTTTGTTTAGAGACGGAGTCACTTGTCACTCAGGCTGGAGTGCAATGGTATGATCTCAGCTCACTACAACCTCCGTCTCCCAGGTTCAAGCAATTCTCCTGCCTCAGCCTCCCGAATAGCTGGGATTACAGGTGCCTTGACACCAAGCCTGGCTAGTTTTTGTGTTTTTAGTAGAGATGAGGTTTCACCATGTTGGCCAGGCTGGTCTCCAACTCCAGACCTCAAGTAATCTGGCCTTACAAAGTGCTGGGATGTGAGTCCAGAATTTTTTTTTGAGACGAAGTTTTGCTCTCGTTGCCCAGGCTGGAGTACAGTGGCATGATCTCGGCTCACTTCAACCTCTGCCTCCCAGGTTCAACCAATTCTCCTGCCTCAGCCTCCTGAGTAGCTGGGATTACAGGTGTGCACCACCACGCACACCTGGCTGATTTTTTGTATTTTTAGTATAGACGGGGTCTCACCAGGTTGGCCAACCTGGTCTTGAACTCTTTACTTTAGGTGATACGCCTGCCTCAGCCTCCCAAAGTGCTGGGATGATTGGTGTGAGCCACGGCGCCCAGCTGGAAATTTAACTATAAAATAGCATCACTTCCCATCTAGAATTCTGGGTACCTGGGCGATGTGACAGAAATGGCTTATCTTTTAAAGGTTTGGATTCTAGATCCTCCACTTACTATTCTGTGATTCAGTTTCATTAGCTAAAAGAATAAAAAATAGAGTAGGTAATACCTAATTTAAAGATTGTCATGGAAATACAAAGTATGTGGCCCTTACTAATGCTAAATAATGCTTTGCTTTTTGTTTATTTGCATCCTACCCTCTTCCATGAACATAGATACTACCTTTAAGGGGTTGAGTAGGTGTTTGCTGGTTGCCCCTTCAGTCGTAAGGGATACATGATGAATATGTTTTTAAGAGTATGTAATTTTGTTACTGATTGACTACATTACTGATTAACAACATTAAAACTAGTAAAAGAAGTAGTAACAGTTTGTCAGTCACTTGGTATGGCATTTATTTATCGCCTCTTTTTGGTTCCCAAAGGAAATCCGAAATAGAGTACTATGCTATGTTAGCCAAAACTGGTGTCCATCACTATAGTGGCAATAATATTGAACTGGGCACAGCATGTGGAAAATACTACAGAGTGTGCACACTGGCTATCATTGATCCAGGTATGCTTTTAAAAATCATAGTCTTTTTTTTTTTCGTTTCTAATGTAACGTCTGGACAAGTATTTGTTATTACACAAATACCTTTTGTTCCTAAGTTCAGATAGAATATGAATATAGTAAGGCATATCCTGTAGTTGTATTTTGTAGAGAATTGGTAATAAATGCCAATACATTATAATTGGCTTTTATAATTAAGACTGTTACTGTCAGATAATGAATTTCATTTGATGAAGTACCTGCGAAATAGTGACTTAGAGATTTGGTAAAAGGTGAAATTGTAAGGGGAACCTAATTCATGTAAAATTAGGTTGAGGGGGAAAAAGTGCCTAAAAATCTACATCATCTTGTTTTCCAGTTGTGAATCTTTGATTCATAGAATACTGCGAATATTCTCGCTGTTCTGATTTTGTAATAGTCAGGACAGGCTAAACATTCGCTATATTAAGACCATGCGTGTGTCCCCAGACCTAGTTCTTTCCCTAGGTTTGGTTTTATAAATGCTGGTGATAAACCAATTTTATTGTATGATCATTTTGTGTGATCATATAATGGCTGTGATTCTAGGTTATATTTGATCAACCTTAAGAAAAATGACAGTACAGCTAATGTGATAACTTTCGCAAAAATCACTGCTAATTTGCAGACTGTTGTCTACAGAAGGGATAACTAAAGTAGAGAAATTTTATAGAACCAGTTGCTATTAAAATTAATTGTAAAATTACTGTATTTTTATTTTTTAGGTGATTCTGACATCATTAGAAGCATGCCAGAACAGACTGGTGAAAAGTAAACCTTGCAAAATTTTCCTTTAATAAAATTTTTCCGAGCTTGTTTTAAAAACACTGTATCCATTTTAGTTTTGTTCTCTGTATATTTTTGTTTTAATGCAATTTCCTGAAGCTTGGATTAGAGAGGATGAGGCAGATGTGGCAAGACTTTTCAGTAAAGAGCTACTCATCCTGGTTTCTGTCTTCTAGTTTTTGCTAAGGGAGTACACTGGGTTCCTTTCTAGTACTAGATTTTTAGGAAGCTCAGTTTTTATAATTCCATTCTCAGGACATTGTTTGCATTTTGGCAGCAAGGTTAAATGCCCAGAATTTAGCCAGAATTGCAATTTTCCAAATCTGAGTAGCTAAAAAAAGATTAGCTGAGGTGTTTCCCCATCCAAAATGTCATAGGTCAAGAAAAGTTTTACTTTAATGAATAATCTTTTCTAAGGTTGTAAGTGGTTGGTATACCTGGACGACTTCTGAGTAATCCCAGATCACCAATAGGTGTTAAGTCCAAGTTTTATATCATATACTAGTAAAAAAATGGACTGTGAAGTATGTTAAGTATTCACATTTTTGGGAACTGTATACTGCATCCCCAAGAGGATGTCCCAGGAAACCCTCTTTCATATGTTAATATCCTTTGGAACATTCAAAGGAATTAATTTGAGGGGAAATAATGATTTAGTTAGATCTTAATTTACAAAGTCGAATGGTGCTAATAAGGTATACTGTATGTAAGTCAGCTGGGCTTTGAGGCAGAGGGCCACAGAAGTGTCAGAAAAGACAATGTCTTTTGGGTTCTAGGCAGTCTCCTTGCCCCTTCATTTCTGCATCCCCTCTTTCAGGCAATTTTTGGTGGTAGATGAGTGAGACATTAAATGAGGATGCCTTCTAAATAGGATGCAGAAAATCAAGCGTTTATTGCACTTGGAGTCAAAGGACCCCAGCTCTTAATAGCTATATGACAGCCCTGGGTGGGTCATGTTCCCGATTTGATAGATGGGGGATAGGAGTTTGTTTTTTTGTCCAAGGGAATAGCTCATGATTTTGTGTCTTGAAGTTAATCTGAGGTTGTGGATATATTAATACTTTGGAGAGTCTGGTGGTTCATAGTTGTACTGGTTCATTTACTCTTTCTCAGTTTGGGAGCACTACTGACATTGTGTAATGGGACAGTTCTTTGTTGTGGGAAGCTGTGGATTCTGCAAGGTATTTTTCATTCTTGGTTTTCCTTCCATGTCATTATAATAATCAGCCCCAAATGTCACCACATTTTTAAACCAGCTTCTCTCCTAGTTAAGATGAATATATGAAAGATTTTAGGTGTTCTAAGGTGTTCATGTTTACATATCCAGAGATCAGTGTGCTCAAAGTGATATAAAATATTTGAATCTTAATCTTTGGTAAGAATTGCTTGGTCTGACTTCTGGTCTCTAATAGCGTTAGTCTGTTTCCATAATTCAAAATGTTTCAATCTCATGGTTCTGGTAGTTTGTGTGTTTATTATCTACTCGGTCAGTTTCTCCCCCAGGTTGACTTTTCACACTATTTGGGTTAGTTTTTCCTCCAGGTTGACTAACTCGAATTTAATTTCTCAAGGTGTGGTGACCTGAAGAATACAATATTGCACATGTTGGTGTACCATTTCTTTGTGTGGTTTCTGTTGTGTGGTTTTTTTTGGCTGCAGGCATTTTGGAATGATGGTTTTTAAGAAAATTTATGATTTCTAGGGCCTTCTAGGTAGTTGATAATAATGCTATAACATCATTTGGCTTTTGCCTTTTCATTATTTGTTCTTTTTGTGCGGTCACAACTGTTGTTTTTTTCAGCAAGGAACAAGTGTAGAGAGACAAGAAGTTTAAACCTAGTAGATGCGAAACATTCCTTACTCATTTTGGCCTGTGTTACCTTTGATTAAGTACTCTTAAACTGCTCTCAGAGAAAATGACACTGGCCAGGAAAATCTGGGGAAATGTAAGGTGACATTTAAAATGTTCTTTTCTAATTATAAGCAGTTGTTTGGGTAGCTCTAATATTCAGAGGATTGTATGCAGCCAATTGTATTGGCTGAACTCTGGGGTATGGAAATAGAAATTTCCATACTGAACTCTGGGGTATGGAAATAGAAAGCTCAAAGAAGAGACTGGATATTGTAGAATGTGTTAAGAATTGCAGTTGGAATGGGATGGTGGCAGGAGCAAAAGAAATGTAGAGAAGAAACCAAATTTTAGGCTTATTATGAATACAACCATTAATTCAAAAGTGGGCAAAGGATATGAACAGACACTTTTCGAAAGAAGACATATATGAGGCCAACAATCATGAAAAAATGCTCATCGTCACTGGTCATCAGAGATGCAAATCAAAACCACACTGAGATACCATCTCACGCCAGTTAGAATGGCAATCATTAAAAAATCTGGAGACAACGGATGCTGAGAGGATGTGGAGAAAAAGGAACACTTTTACACTGTTGGTGGGAGTGTAAATTAGTCCAACCATTGTGGAAGACGGTGTGGCGATTCCTCAAGGCCTTAGAAATAGAAATTCCATTTGACCCAGCAATCCCATTACTGGGTATATATCCAAAGGACTATAAATCGTTCTACTACAAGGACACATGCACACGAATGTTCATTGCAGCACTGTTTACAATAGCAAAGACCTGGAATCAACCCAAATGCCCATCGATGATAGACTGGATTGGGAAAATGTGGCACATATACACCATGGAATATTATGCAGCAATCAGAAATGATGAGTTCATGTCGTTTGTAGGGACATGGATGAATCTGGAGAACATTCTCAGCAAACTGACACAGAACAAAATGAAACACCGCATATTCTCACTCAGGCGGGTGATGAAAAATGAGAACACATGGACATAGGGGAGTACCAAACACTGGGGTCTATAGGGGGGAAAAGGGGAGGGCCAGTGGGAGGGGGAGGTGGGGAGGGATAGCCTGGGTAGAAATGCCAAATGTGGGTGAAGGGGAGAAAGGAAACAAAACACACTGCCATGTGTGTACCTATGCAACTGTATTGCATGCTCTGCACATGTACCCCAAAACCTAAAATGCAATAAAAAATAAAGAAATAAATAAAAATAGCTGGATCATCTGGAAGATAATAATCTATGTCATGGAAGAGTTTGCCATCTCCTGTCTTCCAACTACTCCTTAGATTTGCTACTCCCTCCATCTGCAGTGGAATCTGGTTTCTTCTCTTTTCTGGGCCTACCTGTGCTTGTTCTGAGGACAAGTTTAGCACCCAGTCTAAAACAGGTGCCTCTGAGTTACCTTAGAACCTTTTTTATGGCATCGATTACATCTTTCTCACTAAAGGTTCTACAGGACAGGGACTCTAGGTATTCAGCTTTGTGTCACTTATCAAAAAATTAAAGTGGATAATGACTATTAGAGCTTAAACATTTAATTCTCTTATAACATTTGTGGCTTTCTAGTTCAGAATTTTCTTTGTCTTGTTAATAGGTCTCAGACTTCTTATGCATTTACCATTATTTAATCTACTACTGCCTGGTTGCTTTAAAAGATAGGGGTGGGAATCTGCCAGATTACTTTCCTCAGGTCAGCAAATAATTTATTCTGTCCTTTCATTCACTCAGCATACGCTTAGCTCAAGCACCATCTTTGTGTCCAATACTCTTGGCTGCTAAAGAGTAATAGTTAATACTGAGCATTTAAAATGTCTAGCTGGGAGCAGTGGCTCATGCCTATAATCCCAGCACTTTGGGAAGCTGAGGTGGGTGGATCATGAGGTCAAGATATCGAGACCATCCTGGTCAACACGGTGAAACACCCCGTCTCTACTAAAAATACAAAAGTTAGCTGGGCATGGTGGTGCAGGCCTGTTGTTGTCCGAGCTACTCAGGAGGTGAGGCAGGAGAATTGCTTGAACCCAGGAGGCAGAGGTTGCAGTGAGCCAAGATGCCATTGTACTCCAGTCTGGGTAACAACAGCAAAACTCTGTCTCAAAAAAAAAAAAAAAAAAAAAGTCTTAGGGCCCAGTACTGCGGCTTATACCTGTAATGTTAGCACTTGAGGATGAGGCAGAAGGATCACTTAAGGCCAGGAGTTTGAGACTAGCCTGGGCAATATAATGAGACCCCCGTTTCTACAAAAAAGTTACAAACATTAGCCTGTTTTGGCTGTTGTGCCACCAACTCAGGTGGCTGAGGTGGGAGGATTGCTTGAGCCCAAGAGTTGAGGTTACAGTGAGCTATCATGGTGCTACTGTACTCCAGCATGGGTGACAGAGCAAGACCCTGTCTCTAAAAATAAATTAATATGGCCGGATGCATTGGCTCATACCTGTAATTCTAACACTTAGGGAGGCTGAGGCAGACTGATCACCTGAGGTCAGGTGTTCAAGACCAGCATGGCCAACGTGGTGAAGCCCGTCTACTAAAAATACAAAAGTTAGTTAGCTGGGTGTGGTGGCAGGTGCCTGTAGTCCCAGCTACTTGGGAGGCTGAGGCAGGAGAATCACTTGAACCTGGGAGGAGGTTGCAGTGAGCCAAGATCACACCACTGTACTCCAGCCTGGGTGAAAGAGCGAGACACGGTTTCAAAAAATAACATTTTAGGTACTTTACAAAATAGTGTATATATATTAACTCATTTAGTCCTCTGACCACTCAGTAAGATATTACTATTAGCTTTATATTGCGGGTTAAATCCCAGATATGGAAAGACCACAATAAGTGATGAAAATGGAATGCAGAACCCTTAAACTGAGACGTACAAGTGACAAAAACAAGGAAAATGGAGAAATTTAGACAGTCTTTAAATAATCTGTAGATTTTAATGCATTGGTTGGAGGCCTTTTTTTTTTTTTTTTTTGCCATGAGGTTTTTTCCCCCGGAGAAATGTGTTTAATAGCTAAAAAAGAAAAAAAAAGAAGTTATGATATTCTCATGGCAAGTAAATAAAATGTTAGGTTGAAATGTATTTAATTGCTAAAAAAAGTAGGGAGAGGCAGTCTTCTGAGCCGCTAGGTGGAGCCTGAACACAACAGAAAGTAAAGTAGAATTGAGCCACCTTGGCAGCAATTC